CCAGTCACCTCAAACTACTTGGCCATTCCTAGATCCCTTCCACAGTCTTTCTGTATATAAGGTCCATCTTGTCTCCATTAAGGTGCTTAGATTCTTAAAATTTAGCCACTTCTCAGATTCTTAGACTCTAGCCACCAGCTCACTAATGTTTAGACTCCTTAAGAGTCTGCCCAATATGACAGATGTTCCAATAAACCTTGTCTTTGGCTGAAAAAAAAAATAACGCTGAAGCTTTTGTTTCCTTGGTATTGCTATCCCTTCCTAATGCCCTAACCTCATAAAACCCTTCCTTGTAACAAAGAGATATAGTTAAAGCAAAAAATACCCCAACACATTGGCCACATGTGACAACAGATGCCTCATTCTGCACTTATAGACCATATAGACTTATATACACTTATAGGTAGAGGTATATTTTACCATTAGAATTCTTTTTAGAAGATTAATTACTTAATTAATGTTTAGTTTTAAACATTTACTTCCATAAGAATTTTGAGTTTTAAATTTTCTCCCTCTTCCTCCCTTCTCTGCTCCCCAAGATGGCTTGCAGTCTGATATAGGCTGTACATGTACATTAATATTAAACATATTTTCACATTAGTCATGTTGTAAAGAAGAATTAGAAATGCAACTAAGATTAGAAGGAAGGTAGAAATTGGGAAAGAATTTTTTCAACTGGTCTCTCTGATAAGGGCCTTATTTCTTTTTTCTTTTTTTTTTTTAGGCAATTGGGGTTAAGTGACTTGCCCAGGGTCATGCAGCTAGTAAGTGTCAAGTGTTTGGTCTGAGACCAGATTTGAACTCAGGTCCCCCTGACTTCAGGGCCGGTGCTCTATCCTCTGCACCACCTAGCTGCCCCGCTTCATTTCTAAAATATATAGAGAATTAAGACAAATTTATAAGACTACAAGCCATTCCCCAATTGATAAATGGTCAAAGAATATGAACAGACAGTTTTCAGTTGAAGAAATTAAAGCCATTTATAGTCATATGAAAAAATGCTCTAAATCATTATTTATTAGAGAAATACAGATCAAAACAACTCTGAGGTACCACATCACACCTATCAGATTAGCCAACATGACAAAATAGAAAATGATAAATATTGGAGAAGATGTGGGAAAATTGGAACACTAATGCATTGTTGGTGGAGTTGTGAAATGATCCAATCATTTTGGAGAACAATTTGGAAGTATGCTCAAAGGGCTATAAAAATGTGCATACCATTTGACCCAGCAATAGCACTTCTAGGTCTGTATCCCCAAGAGATCGTACAAATGGGGAAAGGGCCCACATGTACAAAAATATTCATAGCAGCTCTTTTTGTGGTGGCAAAGAATTGGAAATGGAGAGGATGCCCATCCATTGGGGAGTGGTTGAGCAAGTTGTGGTATATGAATGTAATGAAATACTATTGTGCTGTAAGAAATGATGAAGAGGCTGACTTCAGAAAAACCTGGAAAGACCTACATGGTCTGATGCTGAATGATGTGAGCAGAACCAAGAGGACTTTGTACACAATAACAGCCATGTTATGCGATGACTAATATTATTAAACTGAACCCTTCTCAGCATTACGAGGATCTAAGACATCTCCAGAGGCCTCGGGATGGAAAATGCTGTCCACATCCAAAGAAAGAACTGTGGAAGTCGAATCGCTATCACTTATTTTTACCTTCTGTTGAGTTTAGTTTCCTCTTTCTGATGGTTCCTCCTCTTGGTTTTAATTTTTACTTACAACTTCACCAATGTGAAAATATGTTTAATGGGTACGTAAATGTAAAGCCTATATCAGATTGTGCGCCATCTTGGGGAGGGTGGTGGGGAGGAAGGGGGAGAAAAATTTTAAACTCAAAAGCATATGGAAGTGATTATTGATAAATCAAAATAAATTAATAAAATTGAAAAAAAAAAGAACTAGAACCCCAATGGGAGGAACCAAGAGAAAGAAAAAAAGACAAAACAAAAACAAACAAAAAAAAGAGCAAATAGTTTGCTCTGATCTACATTCAGACTCCACAGTTATTTCTCTAGATGTGGATAGCATTTTCCATTATGAATCTTTTGGCATTATCTTAGAACCTTGTGTTAAGTTGAGTCCAGCAAAATCAGTCATCTCATGTAGCTGTTACTGTGTACAGCGTCCTCCTGGTTCTGCTTAGTTCACTCAGCATGAGTTCATATAATCTTTCCAGTTTTTTTTTTGAAATCCGCCTACCCATCATTTCTTAAAGCACAATAGTATTCCATTACGTTCATATACCACTACTTGTTCAGCCATTCCCCAGTTCATGGGCATCCCCTCAATTTCCAATTCTTTGCCGCAACAAAAAGGGCTGCTATAAATATTTTTGTACATGTGGCTTCTTTTCCTGTTTTTATGAGCCATTTGGGATACAGACCTAGAAGTGCTATTACTGAGTCAAAGGGTATGCACAATTTTGTAGCCCTTTGGGCATAGTCCAAAATTGCTCTCCTGGAATGATTGAATTAGTTCACAACTACACCAAAAATGCATTAGTGTTCCAATTTTCCCCCATCTTCTCCAACATTTATCATTTTTCTTTTTTCTCATGTTAGCCAGTCGGATAGGTATGATGTGGTACCTCATGGTTGTTTGTTTTTTTTTTAATTTTTAATTTTTAGGCAATCGGGCTTAAGTGACATGCCCAGGGTCAAACAGCTAGTAAGTGTCAAGTGTTTGGTCTGAGGCCGGATTTGAAGTCAGGTCCTCCTGACTTCATGGCCAGTGCTCTATCCACTGGGCCACCTACTGCCCCCTCAGAATTGTTTTGATTTGTATTTCTCTAGTCAGTAGTGATTTAGAGCATTTTTTTCATATGACCATAAATAGCTTTAATTTCTTCCTCTTAAAACTGCCTATTTATATTCTTTGACCATTTATCAGTTGGGAAATGACTTGTATTCTTTAAATTTGATTCAGTTCTGTATATATTTTAAAAATGAGGCCTTTATCAGAGAGACTTGCTGAAAAGATTATTTCCCAGCCTTCTGCTTCCCTTCTAATCTTGGTTGCATTGGCCTTTGTTTGTGCAAAAACTTTTCAATTTAACGTAATCAAAATCCTCCATTTTGAATTTCATAATGTCCTCTATCTCTTGTCTGGTCATAAATTCTTCTATTCTCCATGGATCTGACAGGTAAACTGTTCCTTGTTCACCTAGTTTGCTTATAGTATCAACCTTTATATCTAAATTGTATAGCCATTTTGACTTTATTTTGGTATGCAGTATAAGACATTGGTCCATGCCTAGTTCTGCCCTGCTATTTTTCAGTTTTCTTAGCAGTTTTTGTGAAATAGTGAGTTCTTGTCTCAGAAGCTGGAGTGTTTTGGTTTATCAAGTGTTACATTACTATAGTCATTGACTATTGTGTTGTGTGTTCCTAACCTATTCGACTTATCCACCACTCTATTTCTTAATCAGTACTAAGTAGTTTTGATGATTGCTCCTTTATAATAACAATTTAAGATCTATATGGCTAGGCTATCTTCCCTTGCATTCCTTTTCATTAATTCCCTTGGTATTCTGGACGTTTCTTCCAGATAAGTTTTGTTATTTTTTTTCTAGCTCCATAAAATAATATTTTGGTATTTTGGTTTGGCACTGAATAAATAAATTAACTAGGTAGAGTTGTTATTTTTATTATTTTAGCTTGGCCTTCTCATGAGTAACTGATGTTTTTCCAGTTATTTAGATCTGACCTTATTTGTGTGAGAAGTGTTTTGTAATTGTGTTCATATAGTTTCTGGGTTTCTTTTGGCTGTTAGACTCTCAAATATTTATAGTATATATGGTAACTTTAAATGGAATTTTTCTTTCTATCTCTTGCTGTTGGGCTTTGTTAGTAATATATTGAAATGTTGATTTATTTCATATCCTGCAACTTTGCTAAAGTTGTTTATTATTTCTAGTAATTTTTTAGTTGATTCCCTATGATTCCCTAGTATACCATCATATCATCTGTAAAGAGTAATAGCTTTGTTTCTTTATTGCCTATTCTAATCCTTTCAGTTTCTTTTTCTTCTCTTATTGCTAAAGCTACCATTTCTAGTACAATATAGAATAACAGGGGTGTTAATGGACATCCTTGTTTCACCCTTGACCTTATTAGAAATGCTTCTAGCTTATCCCCATTACATATATTGCTTTATGTGGTTTTAGATAAATGCTGCTTATTATTTTAAGGCAGATTCCATTTATTCCTATGCTCTCTAGTGTTTTTTTTTTTAGGCTAGGCAGTGGGGTTAAGTGACTTGCCCAGGGTCACACAGCTAGTAAGTGTTATGTGTGTGAGGTCAGATTTGGACTGAGGACCTCCTGAATCCAGGGCTGGTGCTCTATCCACTGCGCCACCTAGCTGCCCCATTCTCTAGTGTTTTTAATATGAATGGGTGTTGTGTTTTGTCAAAAGCTATTTCTGCATCTTATTGAGATAATCGTATGATTTCTGTTAGTTTTCTTGTAGATATGGTTAGTTATGCTGATAGTTTTCCTAATATTGAACCAGCCCTGCATTCCAGGTATAAATCCTACCTGGTCATAGTATATTATCTTCAAGATAAGTTACTGTAATCTCTTTGCTGATATTTAAAAATTTTTTTTTTTACGTCTTATATTCATTAGGACAATTGGTCTATAATTTTCTTTCTCTGTTTTGACTCTTTCCTTTTAGTATGAGCATCATATTTGTATCAGAAAAAGAATTTGGTAGGACTCCATCTTCATCTGTTTTTCCAAATAGTTTATATAGTATTGCAATTAACAATTTAAATAAATAAATTAATTAATTAAAAATATATGTTGGAATTTATGTTCTCAGTCTCCTTTAACTACGTGTTTCATACTGTTTTTCATTCTGAACTTTCAAGTATTTTTTTGTTAAGACCATTTGTTACATATATCAGAAAGTAATCCTTGTTTAACTTGGTTTAAAGTTGTACCTTATTTTTTCTAATTCTTAAATTTTATTTTTACTAGTATCTGGAGTCCACATTCCCCCACCTGTGTCTCCTGAGAGTCTTCTGGAGCAGTCTTTGTCTTCAGCTCATCTTATCTCTTCTAAGCCCATCATTTCATCACAGGATAGTACACTGGTTATTCCACAAACCACTAACAATATGGTAAGTCAAGCAGTATATAAAGATCAGTTAAGGATCTTGATTTTTAATAGAAATCTATGTTACTGCCTTAAAACTCTGTGTGTGTGTGTGTGTGTGTGTGTGTGTGTATATATGTGTGTATTGATTGCATTATCAAATTAGAGATAATGTAGCTTTACCAGCCAGCTGGTAATTGGTTCAGCTAGATAGTAAGTATTGCTTTTTTTTTTGTTCTTTGTTTTTTAAGAAATAGACTCTTTTTGCAGTGGGCAACTAGGTGGCACAGTGGATAGAGCATCAGGCCTGTAGTCAGGAAGACCTGAGGTCAAATTTAGCTTAAGATACTAGCTGTGTGATCCTGGCCAAGTCACTTAATTATGTTTGCCTCAGTTTCCTAATCTGTAAAATGAATGGGCAGCTGAGTAGTGCGGTGGATAGACTGCTGGGCCTGAAGTCAGGAAGAGAAGAGAGCCCAGGGCTGAGGTTCCTCCTTAACCTTTTAGTGCCTCTGTGTATCATTTATGAAATGGGGAAAAATACCTTCAGTATTACCACAGAGGTGTTGTAAGGATAATATAAATTAATGATGGAAAAATCTGCTTTTTGGTTCTTAGCTTTTTGCCATATTGAATTTGAAGCTGCATAAAGAGTTAGGTGGTAAACCACTCTAGTTTATTTGCCAAAAAAACCCCATGTGGATCACAAAGAGTTGAGCACAACTTTACACAACTGAACAACAAAAGCAACAGATTTTTTGTGGCAGTTTTCCTATTTCTAAATTGCATTCATTAAAGTTGGATAAATTACAAATCTATAGTAAGCTAAAATATTTGCATAGTATCAACATTATTTATTTAAGTAATAGAGCGACATTATATTATAGGAGAAAATTGTCTTTTGAAAGAGGACACAATCTGCAGATGAAAGGTAGATGACATTTCAATTAATGAGCCTGGCTTCATATGACCAGAGTTCAACTTTTGTCTCTTAACGCATACCCTGGACAAATCGTTTAACTTATCAGTTTTCCAAAGAACTTTCTAAGACTGTAAGTTGATGAGTGAGCTATAAGAATGTAGATGTTAATATAGGAAATTTGCTGAGAGTTCTCTCTCCAGTTAAAAAAAAAATCATAGAATTTTTGTTGAGTTTATTAGTTTCCATTGAATTTTTAAGAATAATGGTCAAAAATTTCACTTGCTTAATAGCTAAGAATTTCAAGTGTTAAAAAATAATTTGAAGAGTAATTCTTAATCTTCATCTTCATAGAAATTGAGTCAAAATGTAAAATTATCTGTTTCAAGGATTGTCATAGGATATACTTAATGCTTAGGACATTCATTTGAATTTTGTTGTGAAAATTGCATAGATGGCCAAAGGAATCCAAATGGGAAATTATATGAGACTAGTATGGATTTCCAAAGTGTTACAGAAGATCTTGAAGCATCTGTTTTCTATCCCTAGAATTTGGGAATCATTTTGAAAACATGGTGGACTTTCAGTTAACTCCAAAGTAGTACATAGAGATTTTTGTGTAAACTCCTAAGAGCTCCAGTTGTTCTTGGACCAAAATGTGACCAATAAAATGTATTTTACCTTGCCTTGAAGGTGTTTATAAAGTTTCTTTGGTGCATTGTAAACCAAATAACAAATGCTTTGGAGGAAATTTTCTCCCATTCTAAAAGATGAAGTTGTTGTAATACTTTTATGGTTTTATCAATTTACTTAAAAGATTCCAGATGTGGTTTCTAGTGCCCTTGAGATGTTTTTATTTATTGGTACATTGTAAGCTTTTCTCCTTTGATTTTTTTCCCATGTGGATTAGGTTCAGCAATCAACAAATACTATTGATCCTTCAGTTTTTCCATTGGATTTAACTGATGAAAAAACTAATGAAACAATTTCACTTGTGGATGATACTGCTGAGGGTCACAAAGCTATTGAGTTAAACATGGAACTTCGACAAAAAGTTGCAAGCTTGAAGCTTAAACTTAAAGCTTCTGAAGAAGAAAAACAGAGAATTAAAAAGGTATGATGACATTATCTTGCAGAAGCTTTTGAAACTTGATTAAAGGAGCCCTACCATGATTAAAAACTTATCAGAGGAAACTAAAAATGTCATGCCATGAACATGTTTTCATTCATTGAAATGAATCTAGTACCAAGGAAAAACTTTGAGAAGTAATTTGCAGTGTGAGAAAAGCTCGTTTAGAAAGTATACATAGTAAGTTTTATTAAGTTTTTGCTTGGATTCTTAGCTTAGGACTTCATTTGTAATATTCGTAACTAATAATTTAATATATATGTACGTGCAAACACATACTTATAAGTATACATGTATGTGTGCATGTATGTATATAATCATATATTTATATAACTATTTGTAGTTACATATTATTATGTACACATTCACATATACCCACATAAACCCATATAGTTTATTCACATAAACTATATGTATACATATACATCTATATGTGTTTATATATCTATATGCATGTTTATATATACATATCTGTGTGTGTGTTTATACATATACATACACATACAAAAACGTATACATGTACATATTGATATATGGTATGCAGAAATGTTTAAGGAAAAATAGGTATAAGGGTTGCTGAGCCCTTTTCAGGGCTGCTTTCTACCTTTGGCGTCTACCTGATTCACCCAACTCTCACCTGTGGCACCAAGAAGCTGTAGCATGGTCAATGGCCACACCCCAGCAAAACGTTTTGGCAGAGAGGCTAAACCAGGTTGAGAGTAAGTGAGAGGTCTCAAATTCATTGGTGAGTTAAGGGCATGTCTACCCCCATCATATAAAGACTTCCCCCAATGGAATGGGTGGTGGGGAACATTTTGTTCCAGCCTCCATGAAAGTTATCAAAGCAGATGCCATGGAGTACTTAAAGCCTGGTTAGACGTTGAAGATGTCAAAGTCAACTGCTGTGTCCCAAGCCATCACCAGTCATCTTGACTTTTGTCTTTACAATTCTGCCTCAATTAAATCCAGTTTATGTACAAGTCAGAAAAACATCACTCATGCCATTTTGCCATTTTTACCTCTGTCAAAGTCCTGAGGTGACAGGCAAGTGATGAAGCTGTAGTCATAACCCTTTAAACAGGTGGCCTAGGCCCTTGAGTCATCTTCTCAGTGAACTGAAGCAGCAGTGGCATTCCACAGCCCCCTGGGTGTCTGAGCAGCCTGTTTTAAGGACTGAACTGCTTAGGTCTTGATGGGAGGAAGGGGCTAGAAAAGACACCCTAAAAATTTTCTGCTTCACCCAATAGGTAGGGATTCCACCCTGTGGTCAAAACACACAAAATGTACAAAAACTTTTTTGAAGATGATTCCTCTCACCATCAGTATATGGAATGTGTGCACACTTTTAGATAACAAGAAATCTAGTAGACCTGAAACGTAAACGGCTCTTGTGAGAAAACTTGGTAGGTATCACATCCAAATAGTAGCCCTGAGTGAAACAAGGCTGGCAAATAAAGGCCAGCTTATGAAAGTCAGAGCTGGATACACATTTTTCTACAGTGGCCACAGTGACAAGGAGCACTGTGAAGCTGGCATAGGTCTTTCAATCAAAAAAAAATCTAGTCAAAAAGTTTGCATGCTTCCCAAAGGGAGTGAAGGGCAGGGCCATGACAATGTGATTGCCCCTTTCAGGAAAATGACACACCAACATCATCAGTGCATATGCTCCCACCATGATGAATCCTGATGAGGTCAAAGAAAAATTTTATGAAGACCTAGAGACTCTCATCATCAGTGTTCCAAAAGAGAATAAGCTTGTGATTCTAGGTGACTTTGATGCCAGAGTAGACATAGATGGCAGAGAGTCCTTGGGAGGAATGGAGTTGGAAACAATAACAGCAATGGTCACTTACTGCTGAAGACTTGTGTATCTCATGACCTTTTCATCACCAGCATCATCTTCTGTTTACTTAAATGCAATAAAACTTTGTGGATGCACCCTTGCTGCAAACATTGGCATTTAATAGATTATATCATTGTAAGGAGAATAGATGAAGATGATGTGTGGCACAGAATGCTGGACTGATCTTAGACTTACCTTCCCCAAGCTAAATATTCCACTCAACAAAAGCAGCAGGCTCAAGGCAAGATGACTAGTAGAAGACTTAATATCAACAGACTAGAGCACTTCTTTAAGCTGGAACAAGATTGGTTTGATGAAAATGATGGGGAAATTCAGAAGCTACTAAAGAAAGAAAATTAGAACTCCACAAAGTTGACCAGCAGGATAGTTTCTGTCTCTAAAAAGTAGAGTACTGTCAAAAGTAAAGTGCAAGCAAAGCTTAGAGGGAGATGCAGGATTTTTGGCTCAGTAAGAAGGCAGATAAAAGTCAGTTTTACAGTGATAGTAACAATCCAAAATGTTTTTATGATGTCCTGAAGGCTATTTATGGGCCAAAGACCTGTGGTGCATCTCAGTTATTCAGGGTTGATGGAGCCACGTTGATTAGTGATAAGGACATGATCCTGGAGAATTGGGCTGAACATTTCCATAGTGTTCTCAGAGACCATCATCAGCCAATACAGAAGCCATTGAGCATATACCTCAGGTTGAAGTCAATCCCTCTCTAGACAAATTTACAACTGAAGAAGAGGTTTTGAATGCCATTAGGCAAAGTGCCTGATGCTTTTTTTTCCATTCTAGCAGAGATTTACAATGTATGGGGTCCATTGCTCATACAAAAGCTGACTGAAATCTTCCAAGTTATATGGCAAGAGGACATTATACCCCAGGAGTTCAAAGATGCCTCCGTTGTCCATCTGTGTAAAGGAATGGGAAGTAGCTTGTTCTATGAGGGTCACAGTGGAGTCGTTCTCCCTTAGTCATTGCTGTCAAGATTCTTGCCAGAATTGTCCTCAATTGGCTGATCCTTCACCTGGAAGATAGTCATCTCCCCCAGAGCCAATGTGGTTTCAGAAAGGGCCAAGGAACTGTCAATATGGTGTTTGTTGCCTGACAACTCCAGGAGAAATGCAGAAACAGAAGAGAAGATTGTACACAATGTTCACTGATTTGACCAAGGCCTTTGATATACTGTCACTCGTGAAGACTTATGGAAAACTGTAGCAAAATTTGGTTGCCCATAGAGGTTCATAAGTGTTCTACGTCAGTTTCATGCCAGCATGCTGGCATGGGATCTGGATAATGGACATTACTTTTGTACTTTCCCAGTCACTGATCAGCTTACATAAGCAGGGCCTTGTGCTTGCTTCTGTGCTTTTTATTTAGTATGATATTTTCATTGATGTCGTTGGACTCCTTCAGTGAGGAAGAAAACGCCATCAAAAGTCTACTGCACTGATGGTAAATTACTTAACTTTAAAAGGCTACATGCCGAGACTAAAGTGGAGGGAGAGTTGATGCATGACTTTTTGTTCACAGATTATTGCATACTCAATACAGCCTCTATGGCTGAGATACAACATATGGATTGATTCTCTGCTGCTTGTGCTAATTTTGTTCTAATGGTTAATACCAGGAAAACAGAGGCTCTTCAGCTGGCCGGTACCACAGTATCCATACGTGGAGCCATCAGTTATAGCAAATGGAGAAATTTTGAATGCTGTAGATAAAATTAATTTACCTTGTCAATATACTTTCCAGGGATATATACATAGATAATGTAGCTGATGCACACATTGCCAGAGCTTGTTCAGTGTTTGGGAGGCTCCAGTGAAAAGTGTGAGACAAAGGAGGTATTAGGCTCTACAGAGCCACTGTGTTGACTTCATTGTAGTATGCCTGTGAAACCTGGACAGTATACCAGTGCCATGTCAGGAAATTGAATGGCTTCTATTTGAATTGTCTTTAGAAGATTCTGACTATCACCTGGCAAGATAAGATACCCAACACTGAGATCCTTTCTGGAGCTGAATTGCTAAGTATCCAAACTCTACTGCTGAAAGTGCAAATCCAATGAGCTGGCCATGTTGTTCAAATGCCAATCATATGTTTGCCTAAAATAATATTCTACAGAGAGCTCACACAAGGCAAGTGCTCACATGGAAGTCAGAAGAAGTGATACAAGGACACTGTCAAGGTCTCCTTGAAGAACTTTGAAGTCAATTGTGAGACATGGGAGACATTGACACAGGACTGCCTTGCATGGCATGCTCACATCAAAGAAGGTGCTGTGCTCTATGATCCAGGCAAAATTGCAGTAGGTCAAAGGAAACCTGAGATGCACAAATTTAGAGATATCTCCTCTCCAAGTGTTCATATGAACTATTTGTGCCCAACTTGTGGTAGAAACTTCTGAGTTCTTATTGGCCTAATCAGTCACAGGTGGACATATTGTACCTTAACCCCAACATAGTGATGTTGTTTTTGACCTCTCTGAGAACAGAGGACAACAACTATATATGTATAAACTATTAAAGCTTAAAACTGCTTGGAGGTTTTTGGGACATTCTGTATATTGTATGTAGATATTGCTTGTTCATGGAAAATGCAGCACTAGGCTGTTAAATATCTTGGGGATAATGTGAAAGTGTTAGAATTGCATGAGCCTGTGTCTTAGTTCATCAGCCTCTTTTGTTATAGAGACTGTACTTCACCAAATTTGTTTAGTAAAAAAGAACTGGATAAATTTATAGCGAGGGTGTAGAAACCTATTTTTTGTCTTCTCTACATAGAGAGAATATATGAAGCTATCAGATATTAACTGAAATGCACTTCTGTAGTTTGATCAGAGCAATTTTCAGTATGTTAGTACATTTTTTAATATCAGAATGGCAAATATTCTGAAATATTTTAAAAATAAAAGAGGACAATCATTTGAGCTATATGTGTTCCCATAAAGCACCTTGACATACAAAATCTTGCAATTAAAACCACAGAACTTATGGAGAAATTGGGGTTTGGAGAATAATGTCAGTGAAACATAAAAAGAGATAGGAACCTAATAAAAATGGGTAGCACAGTTTTGATTAGATTGTGGGCTTCTTGAGGAAAGGGATTATTTTTTGCATTCCTCATGTTTAGCGTAGTGCTTGAGACATAGTAGGCATTTTATAAATATTTATTGAACAGTAATCCATGACAGTTCTAAAGGACTCATGATGAAAAATGCTATCCACATTTAGAGAGAGAACTGATGGATATGAGTGCAGATTGAAGCATTTTTTCACTTTATTCTTTATTTTTTTTCTAATATAGCTATTAAGGAAATGTGTTTTGTGTAACTTAACAAGTATAATGGGTATCATGTTCCTTCACTTCTCAAAGGGTGAGGGAGGAATTGGGAGGAGGGAGACAATTTGTAACTCAAAATTTTAAAAAAATGAATGTTAAAAAAACATAAAAAAGAAAAAGAACAATCCTAAAGATGGAAAAATTTTATTACCTATCTGGTAAAACATATTAAATAATTAATAAATACATCAGTACTACAATAAATGGTAGCCATTGCCCAGGGCCTCATGTCCAGGCAGGTTACAATGTCCTCATGTGCCTTTGAATATAAAAGACCTTTGTAAATAGAAATTTTGATTACATGTATAAAATCTAGGGTAATGAATCTTATTCAGTTAACCTGTGTATAAGATTCTACAATTCTTGGCTTAAAAAAAATAACTTAGAGTGAATTTTGACAGTCTCCACTGTAAAATCTGGTACTCTTTGCTTTTTCTTTTAGGATTTAGAAATATTGGTGGAAAAGCATAGAGTCCTAGAAAAAGATTTCCTAAAAGAAAAAGAAGATGAAGCAGTTTTTCTCCAGGATAAATACAAAATGCTTCAGGTAAACTCACTTTTTAATATTTAAAATATAATAATGTTAATGAAATGATTTGAGGTATCAATTTAAAAGGTGCTCAGTAAATATTGAGAGTGAATATTTAATTAAAATGGATTAAACATTAACTAGAATTTCCATCGATACATATCTATAAATTGTTAAAATGGCAATTTAAAAAGTTGAATGTAGCATGAACTATTGATGTCCATTAGACTCTTAGAGACTAAGACTTTGTTGAACCAAAGATTCAAGGAATTTGCTAAAAAAGATCCTATTCTGATTTAGGTATACAAGGATACTCAAGCTGATTGATCCATTTAGTAGTCACTCAATAAGCATTTATTAAATTTAATAAATATTTATTAAATATGATCTTGATTTTTATAAGCCCTGATGATGCAAAACCAAAAAGAATCTTTGTTTTCAAATAATTTAAATTTTTTTCAGAGGGAAATACCACATACATATAAAAATAAATAAAATAATAAAATATTTATACAAAGCAATATTGGTAAAAGAACACTAGAAACTGTGGGTGAGGGGGAATAGTAAATCAGAATAGGATACTTGTGGTGGGTGGTAGTTAGGTGACATAGTGAGTAGAATGCCAAGCATCGACCGGTTTTGTTTCCTTGGGCAAGTCACTTAACCTCTCATACTCAGTTTCTTCCATGTGTTAAAATAGGGATAACACCACCTACTTCATAAGATTGTTGTGAGATTCAAATGAGATAAAGCCCTTTGTGAACCTTAAAGTACTCTGTAAATATTAACTATTATTATTGACATTTGAGCTGGGCTTTGGAGGAAACTAGGTATTCCATGTGGTGAACATAAGGAAAAGAATATATTTCAGGCCTTTGCAAAGGCACAAAAATGGTACATAATCTTCATTCTTTCCCTATTTTCTTTTCTGCAGCCTACAAACATTTCTAGGTCTATGTATATTAGATGTCTCCTCTTTCTATCCTTCCACTCACTGTCTTCTAAACCCTCCATCGTTTGGTTTCTGCCTGCTCAAAGTTACCAATGTTCTCTTAATTTCCACATCTAATGGTCTTTTTCTCAAAACTCCTGACCTATAGGGTCGTACATTACCAACTGCCTTTTGTACATTTTGAACTATACAAAACAACCTGTTATCTTTCCCACTAAATCCTTCCTTTTTCTGAACTTCCGTATTATGATAGAGGGCACTATTATCCTCCCAGGCACCCAGGCCTGCAATCTCGGTGTCATCTGGAAGTCCCCACTCTCTCTTATCGCACATATTTAGTCTGTTGCCAAACCTTGTCATTTCTGTCTTCACTGCATCTCTCATGTATATCTTCTTCTCTTTAGTGATAAACCCATTACCCTCATTCAGGATCTCAAACTGGTCTCCTTCCTCCACCTCTCCTCACTCCAAAACATTCTCCATTCAACTGCAAATATGCTTTTCCCAAAGTTCTGACCATGCCATCCCCTCTTGTTCAGTGATCTCTAGGAGCTTCCTATTTCCAGCAGGATAAAAGATAAACTCCTCTGGCATTTATAGCTCTTCATAACGACCTACCAACCTTTCTGTTCTTATACTTTTCTCCTTACTATATACACTTTATGATAAAACCACACTGGCTTACTTGCAATTCCTTTAACACAACATTCTATCTCTTGTATTTATGTCTTTGCCCTGGCTGTTTTCACATACCTGGACTATTTTGCCCCCTCACTTCTGTCTTGTTCCTTGTCTTCCTTCAAGACTCAGCTCAAATCTTATCTTTGGTAGGAGACATCTTATTTCCCCAGCTGCAAGTACCTTCCTCTTTCATATTACATTCCATGTATTCTGTATATATCTTGTACATACCTAGTTATTGTTTCCACCATTTTGTTTTTGTTTCCACCATTAAAGTGTAAACTCTTTGAGGTCAAGGACAGTTTTTGTCTTTGTTGTATCCCCAGTTCTTAGTACATTGTCTGGCATATAAAGCAAAAAAATCTTGTTGACTGAGTGAGCAACAGCAGCCATGCCCATTCCCTAAGCTTGACCTCCCTCCTTCTCTCCATTATCATGTTGATTCAGGTTTCAAGCTGTAGGCTTGCCTGGGCTATGACAAGCAGACAGTGCTGTGTCATCAGCATTCTAAATTGCAAAGACTCACTACAAGGAGAGCAGAGAAAAGAGGGAAAGGGTAGAACACAATTCTGAGCTTGAAATAGAGCACCTCTTCCCCCCTGAGCTTTGAAAAACAAAAATACAGAAATGTGACCCATAGCAGCAGTGTGGCAGCCCTTTGAACTGTTACTTTTGGGCTAAAATACTGAGCAACAGAGGGAATGGGACAGGAAAATGGGTGTGTTTTTTGTGGGGGTTAAGCTGTGTTACTGTAGTGAGCCTGAGGGAAAGAGCTCAGCATACAGCTGAGCCCAGTTCTTTACCCCCTAAAAGTAATTTGGGGCAGAAATCTAAGTTGGTGAACTGTGAATTGCCCACCATCAGGGTTGTCTGAGATACTTTGAGATCCAGTCTCTGGAGAAAGCACCATCAAAGAGGAAGGAATCAGAAAGTGAGCAAAGAGGAAAAAAAAAAGAAAAAAAAAGGTTGAAATTACCAAAGGTCTCACGAAGAAGAATTGCCAAATACATAAGCAGATAAATCAATAGAAAAAATCTTAATAACAGAATAAAATTTGGCTTTCAAATCTAGTGAGTTTAGTTGTCTATGAATAAATATTGGAAAACAAAGAAAAACAATCGAACAATTGATGAGACAGAGGAATTTGAGAATATGGAATTAACTACAATATTCTATTCCTGAGTGGTTCAGAAGAGAAATGAGAATTATGAGAATAGAATTAATGGGCTATACAGCAAAAATAATAGCCAGAATAGAAAAAGTTGAATCTGTGGTGGCAAGTCTTACCAAAGAAACAAAAGAAAGAACAATGGATTGGGAATTTAAACAGAAGGAAAATCTGGAAGAAAAGAAATTTTAAAAAAATTAAAAGAAAATATGCTTGTATTACAAAACAAACTAATGTCAAAGACAGGATATGTAGAGACAGGCTAAGGATTATAAGCCAGTAAGCCAAGAAACCTCAACACAATAACATGAGAAATAATACAAGGGAACTACTCAGAATTTCTGAAACAGAAAATGAAATACCAATTGAAAGAATTAATAGATTGCCAGCAGAAAAACGTCAAAGCTGAAAATAAAAAAAAATTCTTTAAATTTAATTAGTTTAGAAATAGCAAGTTCTAGAAATAATCAAGAGAAAGACCTTCCGATACAGTGAAAGAAAACTCAAATATCACAAGACTATTCTGCACTCACCAGAAAATGTGGGAGGAATGGAATAATGTGTTCCAAATGGAGCTAAAGCTTCAGTCCAGGGTGACCTACACTGCATATGTGAACTTTCCCATAAATGAAAAAAGATGAATATTCAATAATAAAAAAGCATTTGGACCATTCATAGAAATAAAACCAGCCCTGAAGAGATTATTTACTTCTTTAACACTCCAGACAAGAGAAATGTAGGAGGGAGTAAGAATGCAGAAGCTAAGGACAGTAATAGCAACAGAAAGGGATAGCAGAGAGACAAGTAAGAGAGATTTTTCTAAATGCATACAAGTAATAAGTGGAGGTAACAATGAAGAGGCAGTCCTGGGGTATTATGGACAGATTCTGGTGACACCGTGCTTACAGGTGAATCAGTATTTTTTTTGAGTGTGTGTAATATTCATTATAAGGAAAGTGAATAAAAGCGAGACAGGGAAACAGGAGAGTGTGTGATCTGTCTGGGTCAAATTAAGCATTAGCAATAAGTGGAATGTATCCCCTCTCACCTCTTAGGAAGAGAAAAGGCTGCAGAGGAATGGGTTTGGAGGAAGGAGAAAGGATTAAAAAGGAGAAGAGGAAGGCCTTGCTTTTTGGTAGAAAGGGATGATGAATGTTATGATGGGTGAAGAACAATGTTCTGTGGGAGACTGGGACCTTGTGCTGGGTTTTTGCTGAGAGAATTGGTGCTTGAAAAGACCTTTTCCTCCTTTGGGAGTAGGGGAATTATAACACCTGGAGGCAGCTGGCAAGTTGGAGAGCAGGAGAACATGGATCCAGGTTTATAATGAAAAGAATATTCATATGTGGTGGTCTGCATAATCAGGACTATATTGGGACAGTGCCAGTACAGTGCCCTACCATAGGGCAGTGTCCTCTTTGTCACTTGCAGGAATTAGCATTGTTATGAGAGTGAGGTACAGATGAATCTGTGGAGCAAACTCTAAAAGACAGTGACAGAAACTGCCTGGAGTGGAGAGCTCAGAAGTTTTGATTGCATGAAGAATACAGAGAATGCTGAGAGACTAGGTAATTATAGGGGGTCATGAACCAGAGAATGAGGTTTCTGGAGTAGAGAAGATGGATAATGAATAGAGTGGGAGAAACCCTCTGTAGAAAGGGATGCAAAATACATTAAATTAAAAAAAAAACCCAACAACTAATGAACATGACTCATTGAAGGAAAGGAAAGGAAAGGCAAAGCTACTTGATTAACTGAGAGGAAAAAAGGGTAAATGCAGGATAAAAGCCTTTATAAAGCAGGATAAAAAGCAGGAAAGAAAAAGGAACTAATAAATAAAACCCTAAAGGTAAAAAAAATAAAATAAAAAAAACCCAGGACAAAAGGAGGAAAATATAAACTTAACTCTCAGAACTTTAAATGTGAATGGATTAAACAGTCCAACAAAATGAAAAATAACAACAGACTGGATAAGAAAACAAAACCGTATAATCTGTTGCTTTTGAACACAATTAACAAATAAAGACATACACAAAATAAAACTAAGGGGATGTAAAACTCTGCAACAAGTGAATTTTACAAAGTTGGAGCTCCAGTCATGCTATCTAGAAAGCACAAATTAAAAAAAAAGAAAAGGAAAGGGATAAGCAAAGAGACTATAATATGATGAAAAGAACTATAGATACCACAGCTGTTGTCTATATAGACCCTCCAGGT